TCTAAAACAGCCTGAGACCAGGTCAGCCTGAGCCATTTCCGATCATGTAAGCTGCTGACTTTCACGGTTTCAAACAGTTTAGAAAATTCGTAATTTCGACTTTTGTATAGCAAGTCATCAAAATAAAATATATCCTAATTACTTCGAAAATGGCAGGACTCTGGTAAAAACCGCAAAAAATTGGAACAATAGACGTTTTATTTTTGAGAGATGGGGCGAAAATACAGCGATCTAAAAACAATCTGGTCGAGTCTTGTCTGTCCAGACGGCCTTTCAGACAGTTCGGAAATTTCAGAATTACGATTTTAAAATATAGACTAGCAAAACTAAAATACGCGAGTATCATTGAAAATAGTATGATTTAAGTGAAAATACGACAATGCAAACAACAAGTGTTTTTATTTTCCCGAAAACGGGCGAAAATGTGGCAGTCGCAGGATAAGTATTAGTCAACCATTTGTCACCACACACAAAATCAGCCAAGTAGTTAATTTATACTGATGAAAAAAAACGAATTCTAACTCTACATATAATAAGTGTCACCTAATAACCAGTACAAAAAAAATGGATCTTGTATTGAAATTAAAAATTCAATGTAATGAGCACAAGCACCGAAAGAGGTGTTGCAAACTGCGCGGTCGATTGATTGTGAGTGACGACATACGACTTCCTTAGCTTGATCATTTGTTTATAACTGTAGTAACCACGTTGCACGCCGGATGTCGTGAAATCCTTTGTTTTATAATCTAGTTGCCTGTCCCTCTCTTTCTAAGGTCTATGATATTACCCACTTGCCAAGGCAAAAGTTCAGCAACAAGGTCAAATCAACATTTGTTCAAGGTCAACATCTCAAACTGTAACCATGATTGAAATCGCACCACAAATATAATGAACTGGATACAGTTTATTAGATCTACCATTCTGAATAAAAGCTTTCAAATTGTAAACGGAGTTTGTTGTTAATTGTGATGCAATGTAATTAGACACTACACACTTTTAACTGTTCGTAGTCCAAAGTAAAATGTCCAAAGTAACGATGTTGCCGTAACGCTGTTGTTGTAATGACTTGCAAGCTATGAAATTTTCCCCAAAATGTTCGAATCTCTACCAAATGTTCTTCGGCAAGTCACAATCACGAGCTCTGGTCGCGTGTAGACGGCAAATGCCTTATCAATTTGTTTATGTTTATTACGCTGTTGATTGTCATGCAAATTATAACAGACATCACTAAGCACGCTTTCCCGCGCAGGGGCTTATTCAAGGATTTTTTTCCGTAAATGACGGGTAACGTGAAGTGATTTAGAGAATACACGCATAAAAACTACTTTTGATACCTACATTGTTCGTGAAAGCCACGACTATTAAACCGAGAAAGCTACAAGACATATAACAATATCGTGTCTTGAGCAAAGTAACGTCTACGTCTACACGCATGCTGGAGTACAATCATGCCATGTGATTTTCCGTGAACATTTTGATTACGCAGTGGGTTTTCACATCTGTTAAAAACGAATTCGAAGCCACGAGGCCACTCCATATTTGTGCCATTGACGCGTGAAATATTTTAAAACGCCTGGATGAAATTTCGCTTGAAATCTTACCTTGTTTGTTGAAATTCTGATATTTATTCCTCGCATAGTTGCTCCGTCCTGTTGTTTTCTCTTCAAAACTGCAAGCTGCAGTATACTGTTTAATGACGTCACTGACATCGACCAACCGGAACTCCTTGCGACAGTGACGTCAGTTATTTACCGAGAGCAAATGGCGGGAATTCAAAATAATGAGAGTCGAATACAAGTCCAGACATGCAGGGACATTTGTTGGCGTACATGGATGCCCTAAATAATAGTATAAATAACAAGACTATTTTGGAAAATACATTGACGTTTGAAAAAGTTGTTGTCGTGTATTCTATCATTGATATTGCCTGATATTCACGGCGGATACATTTAACACACGCAAACCCACGGTCCCTCAACAACACTGTGGCGAAACCAGTTCACCAACTCGTTGCTGAAAAAATGGCCGAACTTTGTCTGAATTTTTCCCCGCCAAATTAATGCATGTACTTTCATGGTCGAATGAGTATTAAATGAGATACCATTTGCCATATAAATAAGATGATTTTTTTTTCCCGGAAGTTAGTCTGGGCGCTGTTACTGGTAAACACTGACTCTGTAACTGTCTGACCTTAGACAAGAATGAGGTCTAGGAATGTCTCCTGAAGTGACCCCAGGGTTGACCTTGGAAGTTTGGCAGGGTTGGGCAGATTTCAAATCACTCAGAGGTGTAAGACAAGGTTGTGATATCAGCCCAATACTCTTCAATTTATTCCTAAATGATTTACCAGGACAACTAGATAAGTCATGTAAACCAGTTAAGTTAAACAACAATACAATTAGTATCCTGTTATATGCTGATGACCTTGTTTTTGTGTCAGAAACTGAAGCAGGTTTACAAAATTGTTGCAATAAGTTGGCATCCTACTGCAGTATGTGGAACCTAAAAGTAAACACATCTAAAACAAAAAATATGATTTTTAATAAAAATGGCAAATTATTAAATCATAAGCATAGTGTTTGTTATGAAAATGAAGAACTAGATAGAGTTAAAAAATTATAAATATTTAGGAATAGAATTTAAACCAAGTGGAAAGTTTGATCTAGCAAAAGAACATTTATATCAAAAAGCATTAAAAGCATTTAACTATATCAAACAAATAATTAGCACATCAATAAATATCAACATAGCAACTTGGATCAACATTTTTGACCATATAATAAGACCAATACTAACTTGTGGATGTGAAATATGGGGTTCAGAGAAGTATACAGATAAAACATACATACATACATACATACATAGACAAATTAAATTTGAAATTGTGTAAAATGCTTCTACAAGTTAACCAGACAGCATCAAACCCAGCAGCTCGTGGGGAATTGGGCAGACACCCAATCTTAGTTTTCATTTAAAAAATGATGGTCAGATACTTGTATAAAATATGTAAAAAAATAAAAACAAACTAATAAATGAGGTAATTTCCTGTAATTTTATTGATCAATCACAATGGGCAAAATCAATACAAGAAATAATAGGCGAAAGTGAAATTAATAATTATTGGAAAGAGACCAAGAAAAGCATACATCACATAAGTGATCAAATAGAAGCCAGTTATGTAGATTTGTGGAGAAGTGCAATTAATTCAGAAAAATCTAAATCTGAGGAAAATAATAAATTAAGAACTTACAGTAAATTCAAGAAAGAATTTAAAACAGAGCAGTACTTTACAAAAATTAAAATTCCAATTTATAGAAAATATATATGCAAACTCAGAATTAGTGATCATAATTTAATGATAGAGAAAGGTAGTCATACAAGACCAAAAACAAGCGGATGATATAATGTGTGAAAGGTTTGGTACTAATAAAGTTGAGGATGAATTTCACTTTCTGATTGATTGTCCACAACACAAAGAAGCAAGGAGGAGACTATTTAAATCAGCACAAACCTCAAATCATCTTTTCAATATGTTAGATAACGAAGCAAAGTATATATATATATATTATGGGCAACATACAAATGACAGTTTATATTAACAAACGTGCCATTTTCTAAACCAGTGTCAACAGTATATTTATTTTCATCTATTGTTATTTTTGTTTTGTTTCTTAGAATAGTATTTGACTATGTTCTATTCAAAATGAATAATGTCAATAAAGTTATTATTATTATTATAATGTGTCCAAATATGTACAATATTGTTCTGAGTCGACCACAAGACACGAAAAATGATTATAAGTCGATGCAAAGTAATATTCAATTCGACGGTAATCATAATATTGCAAACGCATTGAGGTTCAGAAATGTACGATGTGCATAGCACTGCTAAATACCGCTCTTAGCCAATAATACTGCTCATTACTTCGTTTATTCTACTTCGTTAGAACGCTCGATGGCGCTGTTACATATGAAAGACTTAAAACGACTGTGCTATGCTTCACGTGTTCTGTGTGCGTAATTCCTTGTAAGGAGGTACTAAGAGCTAACGGGAATCAATGTTTGTTCACAAACGATCATAGGTTAAAGCTAAAACAATAACGTC